TCCAAGTACTTACACTTGTCCTTTCTTAGCTGTATTTTCTAGCTATGTTTTTGCACACTCTCATCTCATCTAAGATAGGGTAATACAGACGCTTAAAGCCTTTTCCTCGTGTTTTCAAATCATTTATAAAGTATGTGCTCTTACTGAACTGGCATTCATTTCTGGAAGGGCCTATTCAAGTAGAAGCAGAGGGTTATCATCGGCTGGGTAAGTGGCTTAGTGATGAGAATTCTTAATATCTGGTATTCTTAAAAATGCAAAAACTGCTTTCAGTTTCAGCAGTCTTTTGATTTAGGAAGGAACAAAGTATTGCTTGTTTTGCTGTATAAAAAGGTGGATCACTGCCTAACTCATCTTCTTGTATTCTGCACTTGGAATCCTATTGTCGTTCCTTCCCATCTGCTCTTGCTGTGTGGAGAGGGATTTCATCCTACTTCAATAAGTCTATGCTCCAAAGCCTAGTGTGTGGAAACCCTGGCTCCCCTAGAGTACGTGGCAAAGTTCCCATTGATTTCAGCAAGGATAGGATTTCACATATCAGAACCAATTTTTTTTTTTCCCCCTGTTTTCCCATACCAGTATCTGTTGTTTTCCTTTTCTAATCTATGTAAATTTGATTTTTTTTGATGAGTCCTTAGTGCAGTGCTAACTCAAGCTTTATTTTCTTCTTTCTGAAGTACAGAGAACGTTTCAGAAAATGGTGGAAGAAAGCCATTAGGCAAAAAGAAAGAAAAGCTTTTATAATCTGCACATCAGCAACATTAAAGTCACTTTTCTCTGAAAATCTCTCTTCTTAACCTGATTAGAGCTAACATGAAATAAAAATGCATTTTTCTTGTTTGATAGATAGTGCTGTGTAGATCATCTCCTTGCTGCTTCTGCATAATCAATTACTTCCTCATACAGTTTAGCTTTGCACATAGCATCCGTCCCCAGAAGAACTAAGGAGGTAAAATAGAAAAGCATAATAGTAAAATAGTATTAATTGCAAAACAGTTGTTGTTTTTGGAGCTGATGATAAAAACGACTGATAATTCGGCAGCTCTTAAGGAATTTGAACTCAGGTCTCCATTCTCTTGCCATGAGTATGTGCAAGCTACTTATGAGAAAAGTGTTTGGATGCAAATAAATGATGAGTATTTTTGCAAAACACATTGGTATTGTGTCTGGAACAAACAAATGAAATAACCTATTATTTGTGCGTCAAACAAATGATTTCTTCCAAGCACAACAGGAACGCCATTGTTAGACTTAGGTAATCAGTGTGATATCTGGACTCAATGTGCAGACTTCTCTTAAATTTTGATTAACTAAAATCATGATACAAAATACATGAATAATAGCTGCTTGTGGCCTAGCTTGCTCTTGGTGCTAGTCTGTTGTAAAATCAGAACCTTAAAGCTGAATAGGATTGCAGTGGAGAAGTAGTTCAGTTAATACTGATAGTTTATGGTAATATTTCACTTTCAGTTGATATGCATTTATTTCAGGAGATTAGTGCTGATTTTCTTCTTTTTTTCCTTTAAAAAACAACAACAGCAACAACAAAGTTTTGTCCTTTTAGGAAGTCTGCAAATGAAAGACAGCAGATGGGGAAATAGGTTGTCCTTGCTAGCAATATCTAATCTGGGCATTTTATCATTTGTGCCAAAGATAAATGGTATTATATACACTCGTATTCTTTATAATGTCTTTGCCTTTAAAAGGTCTTGGAGGGTGACAGAGATTTGTCCAGTGTGCATGCTAGCTCACTGCAGTTGAAAAAATAAAAATGATGCAATTTAAATCACAAAACATGTAATTTGCAAACACAGCATATTCGTATTTTTCTGCATTGCTTCTCTTTCATGCTGGTAATGAGCCTTTCTTGTTGTCATAAATGATATGGTGGGAGGTTTTGCTGGCCGGGGTTTCTTGAAGCATTGGGTGTTACTGGGGTTAATTCCTGGTTTTGTGTTTTGCTGACCTAAAACTGCGTGGTGGTTGGGATGGCCGTGTTTTTTTTTTTTCCCCCTAACAGCACAGGAGTAACACAGCATTTGAATCGCATGACAGCGCCAATCCTACTTCTAAAATGATATTTTCCATCCCCTTTTATGATCCAGTCTGTTGTGAACTAGAAGTAAATGTGATACGAGAGATCAGAGATTCAGGCCTCTTGGCTTTTGCTGTCTTCTGACCGGAGTGGCAATAACAAGAATCACCTGCATAGAAGGCTGGATGCCAGCTGGAATCATCCTCATGAAATGAATATGCTTCTCATGAAAATCAATCTGCACTTGACACAAATTAGTGTGCTTTATGCTCAGCTGTAATGCTACTATAAGATTCCTTGAAGGATGCTTATACATTTTATAAACCCACCTTTCAACATTCATTTATTTCTTTAATTAATTTATTCTGGCAAATGTAAATATTTGTTGTAAGCTTATAGTGGAATTCTGCCAAAATAATTGTGGCACCACTGTGTTGTTAAACCTTCAGAACAAAACAAAAAAATGAAGCAGTAGAGGGGAAGTATGTATCTGGGCGTAACTTTGTCTCTATTTCTATGGGACTGAGGTTCCAAGATAGAACCCGGGTGGCTGGATGTCCTGGTTCTTCTCTCCATCCTCTAAATACCTTTTAGCAAACACAGATCAAGTTATCCTGATTTGGTAACAGCAGGTGTGTTGTCAGAACAAGAAGCTAACTGGTGGGCTTGTAATGTGCAGTAAGCAGATAGTCTGATAGTGTGAAGCCTTTGCCTGCTCCCTTGGTCTGGCAACAGAGCCTGGGTGCAGCAGGGCTGATTTCCTCCTGCTGTGTCGCCATATGCCTCGACCTTGGCCTAACTGTCATTTGGAGGAGGGGATCCCTGCTCTAGGGAGAGGTTTGCATTAAGACTTGACTAAACTTGTTGAAAGGACAGGGTATGCACTGTAGTTCTGTGTTTAAAAGATACTACGCTAAGGTCAAAGAGTAGACATCAGATGTTCATGGTGTTTGGTTGCTACTTCTAGTTGTTGAAGGCCAAGGTGAGCAGGTGTTAGCACATTCCTAGGAGAGGTTAGTGGTATGTGTGTGACATGAAATAGTGATATGACTTCCCTCTGCTCCCCAATTATAAAAGGAATTTGAGCTGTTGGCCCTGGAAGCTTCTGAATGGCTCAGAGAACTTGTATAATTCCTGTTAGCTTTCTGATTTGAGAACTTGTAGAGTGGATGTTTGAATTCACCGATTTTTATTTGAAGTTACACTCTGAACAGGGGTACAAAATGCAGTATTTTGAGCATCAGTTGTATGGTGGCATTCAGGACTTGTCTTTTAGCTGAAGCCCTCTCCTTTTTGATATGTGTTTTAATCAAGCAAGGACTTGACTTCCTAATGAGCTAATTTCTCCTTCTCTAATGGAGAATTGTAAATATAGGTGTTTTTAATATTAAACTATGCCTTCCCCAGAGGATTTTGTTCCAGCAGTTATTTGGGAGCAGGCTGGGGAAGCAAGTACTAGAGAAAAGAGATCAAGCACCATTCAAAAACATATAGCTTTTTGCTGAGCGTAAGCTGACAAGTAGCCAGATTGCATAATGCCAGTTTTCTGGATGGTGGCCATCACATTGTGACCCTTGCATTTGGAAAGTGAGGAAACTCTGCTGGCTTTCAAGTTTCTGGAGCATTTCTCTTTTAACTCTTCCTAGATAACTAAGACGTGGATGACAAATGCCATATACTTGGGGATTTCTATAGTGGTGGAAAAGGCAAGCCCAGGAAATATTTGGGTGGCATAAAGTTTGAGTACATCTCTATTTTATTATAGTGATGCGGTTATCTGGTGATGATAAAGCTTTTTCAATAGCCTAGGAAGGGAAGGAAGAAATGATTTGTTTCTTCTTCTCTAGCTCCATGGTGGGTAACTTACTATACAAGCAAACCTTTATTTATCTATTAGAAACTGATACATATGTATGTTCATGAGAAAGGCTGATTAGTAATTGGTACTCTTTATAGAACATTTTTGAGTGTTATATCTGAAGTTCCCATAGAAAATGTAAAACTGGTTCTGCGAATGACTTTATAAATGACCTTTGCTGTGGAAGTTACTAAGACAGTGGATTTTAGTTAATTGACTATTTCCACTGTCCATAGTCTTGACGGAATAATCAATAAAGTGTTTTGGTATGTACAACTCCTAATGAGAGAGAAATGCCGGTCAAAATAAAATATCCTGAATTGTATACTTCATCTGTGTAAACTTTTTTTTTTGGTCAAAGATAGAAACAAAAAATGAATAACATCAAAGGTTTATTCAACTTGGTGTCAAAGCGCAAATGCATTAGCAGAAGCCATCAAACTCCTATTAGTCACCATCTTTGCATGTAACTCATTGGTTCAGGTAGCTGTTACACAGCAGTTCACTGATTCTGCGTTTAACAGCCTTCCCTCTTGCTAAAGCATGCCTGTGCAGGTAGGATTTGTGGGAGAGGAAGGAGCAGGGAGTGAAAGAAAGGAGGAATGTTTTACAGGTTTTTGGAGACTTGAAAGCAAGCAGCTGTTACACAGGGTTTTTAGGTTCAGTGAGCAGCAATCACATGCAGCATGATGCTGACATGGGGCCCTGAACAGGGCGGGCAGCAGGAGCACGTCAGGCTTTTTTCCTTTTATTTGCTTTATATCTAGCTCTGGGAGGCTTTGCTTACTACATTAATGAGTTAATGCATAATTAATGAAATGTGCAAACCAGCACATAATAATTACAAACTGTTGCTGTGTCTGCGCCTCATATGACTTCAGGTCGTGTAGATATTAATAACTTAGTCCAGTGTGGAACCAGAATGCGTTAAACCAGGCATACTTATGATGTGCCACCTTGGCATTGCCAGTTTGCTGGATATAGCGTCCATTCCCTCATGTATTTTGCATTTTGTTTGTTTGTTTTCAGACAAGACAGTGGAACAGTTGACTTGCATTCTTGAATTTATCCCTTCTCTCATTCTATCCTCTTTTATGTTTTCAGGTCAGTGCTCAGTTCACAAAACGAATCCAGACAAAAATCAAGGACCTTTTGCAGCAAATGGAGGAAGGACTAAAAACAGCAGATCCACATGACTGTTCTGCCTATACTGGCTGGACTGGTGAGAAAGCTGAAATTTGGACTATGTGTTTTGGTGGCCGCTGGGGGTGATTCACAGGAGGAGCTTCTAATATTCTCCCAGGATCTGCATAAGTACTCTGATAACATAGTCATTTGTAGGAGTTGGTTTCTTTTCACTCTGATTGCTTGATGACTGGTATCTGTAATGATTTCCGTTGTCTTCAGTACACACAGGATCTAGTTATAGGGAAATAACTTGTTTCTGTGTTTGGACATCTTTATCTTGCAAAAGGAGAATATTCTCTATGGTTATTCTTTCTTTGGCTTACCTCTTTTTGATTTGTGTTGTGTTGGGAAGCAGCTTGGAAAAAATCTTCAGGCCTTGCTTGTGTTTAACTCCATCTATGAAAATGTAAAATTTCTTTCCTTTCTTCTTGCTGTTTTGATAACAGATGGAGCCGTGGGTGGATGGGTGGGCAAGTTTTACACAACTCAGACTTAAATGATAGATGTATTTCAAGGTCTAAAAATGAGTGGTTGCTAAGTGAATGCGGAGGATCTCAAGCAATGGGCATTTTCACGCTGATGTTATGGAACGGCTCCCTGCGAACAGTGTTCTTGGTGACTGACAACTGAAGTTATGGCTGATAAATCGGAGCATGCTAAAAATGAGTCATATGCTAAAAGTAACACAACCCTCACTAGCTGGAACAAGAAGACAGATGAGAGAGTAACATTGTCTAATAAGAATAGCATTTTTCCATCCTATAGAAGCCAGCTACATCTATTTCAAATTCTATCCTTTGCTTTTTAAGGTTCCGTGGAATTGTCTCTGAATGGAAATACATGATCTGGCTTTTTAAATATGTTGGGGAAATATTTTCTCCAAACTCATTCATTGCAGCATTTGCTAGAATACGCAGATCAAAAGGTAAAAACAGAGATGAGAATGGCTCTCCCACTTTTGATGTAACAAGTCTTAGACAAGTCTTACCAGCAATGAACAGGCATGACATCGGACCATACTCTGTGCGACCTCTTTAAAAACTTGGAGTGTGGAATTGGTGTGTAACAAAGATAAAACTCTCATTACATTCTATCCTGCTTATACAAGTAGTGTTTAGACATGCCAGATACCTTGGAGGAGCCACCTGAAAGGCGTTGCAGAAGGAAATCAAGGGAAAACTGGGTGTCATGGCTGCTTTCCAGCCACCCCTTGATCAAACCTGAATGTTTACAACTTTATTGGAATTTACAAAAGACTTTGGAAATCCCAGCCAGGCTTGTTTTCTTGTTATTGATGGCCTGTGGACCAGGGTAGTAGTTCACAAGTTCCTATGCTATTGAATTGACCCTGTCAAGCTCTGCAGCTCTCCTTTTGGGACCTTTTTGAAAAGCCTGTTAATAGCTGATCCAGAGAACATATGAGGTATCAGCACCAGTGTTTGTTTTGCTTTGGAAATCTATGTTACTGCCATGAAAGCTACATAATGAGTTTAATGGAACAAAGCTTGATGGAACCTTACATTATTCTCCAGGAGTTCTTGCTTGCTTTCTGGCTTTTACAAACTAGCTTAACGTGAAGAAATTAATAATCTTATTAAGAAAGAGACTTTAGGATTTAAAAGAATTTGGCAAGCTTAATCCAAGAACTCATCAAAAGAGCCTCTTAAAATTTAAGCAGAAAAGAAAAAAAATCTTAGAATGTAATGGATGCCTATTGTATAGTTGTTGTACATGGCCATACACATGGTGGTTCGTCTAAGTTTTTGACTCTTTAGTGATTTCTGCATCAGACTTCATTGCCTGTGTCATGAATTTTCCTCGTTCTCTGCATGTTGTGAGTCTAAGCTGGGTTTCAGATTTTTGTCATAATCCAAATTTAAATGGGATCAAGATAGAAGACCTCGTACCTTCATATTGCATAAGCTAGGACCTTTAATTAGTGTTTTTAAATTTACCAAATGCTTACTCAAATATGAGTTGCTGCTTCACAGGCAATAAAGATGAAAACATGATGTATTTGGAAAGAAAATAAATTAATCTTTTTCTTTTTATATGATTGTTCCAGGCATTGCCCTTTTATATCTGCAGCTGTACCGTGTCACGAAAAACCAGAGCCACTTGCAGCGATCTCTTGATTACGTGAAGAGAATCCTTCGCAATCTGAACGGCAGAAGAGTCACTTTTCTCTGTGGTGATGCTGGTCCTCTGGCAGTGGGTGCAGTGGTTTATCACAAGCTGAAAATTGACAATGAATCTAAAGAATGTGTTGCCAAGTAAGTGGCTGACAGGGCAGGAAAAGCTGTGCCCTTCTTGTAAAGCAGCATGCTTGTCATCAGCAGTGTGTAGTGCCTGTGCATTGTGTGATGCTTCCTGGGAAGGCTGGGTCTCAGCTGTGGGCGCGCTGCACTCAGTAACGTGTGTGGCAGGGATCTGGGAATGCTCAAACATGCCACAGTGTCTGATTTTGACAAAGCTTTAGTAAAACAAAGAGGAGATATTTGTTCTCTGTCAAAGGTGAGGACTCTGATTAGATGAGAGGATGTGAAGGCTAACCTGAAAAAAATCTTACTCCTTTTCTAAGTAGTCTGCATGTAAGAATGATCTTAAAAACAATCCCATTTAGATGTTGAGCCTCCTTGGAGAAGTGACTGTCCTTTTGCTGATACAGAGCTGCCTGCTGTCCAGTTGAGACTGGACACACGGGAGCCCCATGCACTTTGTATTCAGCACCAGTGCAGTTTGCATCCTGCACCAGTAACACACTTTGAGCAGTCTAACAACATACCTTGTGTTGCTGGAATTTGCAGATTAGCTTTGTATCAGCATCTCCATTCTGGTTTATATTTGGAAATGCAATCAATCTCTTTCTAATCCAGAATCCTACTGAGATCAATCTCTATTGCTGTCTCTGAATGAATATTCCCATTTTGAAAAGGATGGTAGGTTGTGGGTGGTTTTTTTTTGTTTTGTTTTGGTTTGGGTTTGGGGTTTTTTTTTTGCTTCTAGACCTGGCAGTAAACTTGAGCATGTCATTTTGAATGCAGCAGTGTTGCTTGAAGGCATGAAGCAGGAGTATAGCAAAATGAGATTAGGAGCAATAAATCTTGCAGTCTAGCCTCTGCTTGGAAAGTCATTTCTAGGAAGGGGACTGTAAATTATGTTTTTTTGTTGTTCTTGCCGCTGCTGCTGTTCTGTTTTTGTATTACAAAGCTGTTCATGATACTGAATGGGATATTGTAGATGTCAAAATGCAATCTGTAATGGCACTTTTAACTGTATGCTTTATCCAGTTGTTGTGCGATTAAAAAATTGGAGGATTAAAAGTTAATCATAGCCATTTTAAAAGAAAATAATTTCAAGTCCATGAAGTAATTCCAAGGAAGAATTAATAACATACAGCTTGCTCTTTTGTGAGTGACTTTGCTGCTAAGCAGTGACTGAGCAAACAAGCCATTTGAGTCAGCGTGTTTGCTCCAGCACCAGTTAATGGTAACATTTCTGCCAAGTAATGGCCGTTTGGGGAGATTTGGAAATTGAATTTGGTCTTAATCCAGATCATCTTCCTCCTCCTCCCAGTTTAAACCATGATCATTTCCATGGTTTTGCCTAATTGGGTATTGCCTCAGAAAAGATGGAAGAGACAGGGAGAGGGTTGGCAGGAAAATTCTCTGCCCACGCATGTGGTGCAATGTTAGCTCTGGGTCAGAATTGCCTCTCTATTTGGGGATACCTGAGAGCTGCTGTGTGTGCCCGGTCAGCCAGCTGGACTGAGGCTGACTGCAAGGAGTTGATGAGGCTGCAGCTCTGGAAGGCTGCTTCAGGGATGGGGGTGGGAATTGCTGTGCTGATTCGCCTTCATTGAGGTGCTGATGATTTCTGGGAAACACAGAATGGAGTTAAATGTAGTCAACAATTGGCATTTTGGGCATAAATTAGAAAATCTACTCCAACATAAGTTTGCTGAGGCAAGAATCATGAAAAGGTTTGCTCTTAATTCAGACCTCTTTCTGTTTATGGTGAGATCTGTGGCACGTGCAATACACAGTCAAGTCTGACCTCTAAGGAAGGTCCTCCTCACTCGTTTTATCTACTTCCCTTGTCTCTTGCAGGCTGCTGCAGCTCCAGAGGGCAGTGATAAGCACTGATGCTGAACTGCCAGATGAGCTGCTTTATGGCAGAGCAGGTTACCTCTATGCATTGCTCTACCTGAATACTGAAATTGGTCCAGACACTATCCCTCAATCTGCTATCAAAGAGGTAAGGATGCTTTTATATCTCTCGTGCCAGATCATCAGTGACCTGGAATCATTCCTTCTCATTAAATGAGATAAGGGATTAGGAGAGGAAGTCAAGAGAAGAGAGGGACCTGCAACTGGGAACTCTGTCCCATCCCTTTGCTTCTGTGCCTTCTTTCCTGCTGCCCTCTGGGACTGGAACAGAGTCCAAGCTGGGAGAGTTCATAATTAGCTGCAGAAGTGGATGTAACATAAAATCAGGCCTGAAATATTTGAGGGTGAGAAATTGTCATGTCAAACATTATGGAAGAATTGCAAAAGTGTTTAAATGAAAAGAAAGGGATTACATTGTGGGGAAGATATGTAGGTACTAAAGCCAGAGGGGGCAGGCCTGGGAAAAAAGTGGTTGGAAATATTTACTATTCAACATTTATCTCACAAATCGAAGTGATTTTTAAGTTTTTAGGAAAAGTACATTTCCATCTCAACACTCAAGTCTCGAGTGACTTCATTTGTGTAAAATGATGTTCAAATGACTTGAATATCCTAGCCATATCATGGTTTATCATGACTTACTTTTTAGTGTAGTTTTGGTCATGATAACTCAAAAATCCATCGAATAAAAGTACGTGAGATAGAAGGAAGGAGTGTGTTCTCTTTCTTAGGTAATAGAAGCCATCCTGGAGTCGGGGAAGAACTTTTCCAAGGAGGAGCGTAAAACAGATCGCTGCCCTCTGTTGTACCAGTGGCACAGGAAGCAGTATGTTGGGGCAGCGCATGGCGTAGCTGGCATCTATTACATGCTCATGCAGGTAAGACACGTTCTGGGGGCTGGGGTGAAGCATCAGTGTTGCACATTCCCTTCAGCTTTTGGACATGTGCAGTGTAACTGTGTGCTAGCTGAGGCTCTCACATTTTGGAGATGGACACAGAACTGCACAGAGACGCTAGCTCTGGTAGCAGAGTAAAGTTGCGGAGTAAAGCTCTCATTGCATGGCCCCAGGGTGAATTAAACCTTCCTGCTCAGCAGCAAGGCTGACACAGCTGTCCTTCTGCTAAGGGACGTGATTCTCTGCAGCTTATTCAGGTATTTTGGCAGGGTTTTCTGGTTACATGACTGGAGCATACATGTAGTGTGACTCCTACTCTGCTCTTTCTGTTGTCTTTAATGAGATTTCTCCTCTGTACACCTCCTCTTTCCCACACTTAAATCCATTTTTTTTCTGACCTCCCCCCTGTAAGGGATTCTCAAATACCATGTTTGAAAAACAGACTTGAGTTTCTTTTTTTTTTTCTTCTTCTTTTTTTCCCTTGGAAATAGAGCCTTGAGATTCGTTGAAAAAGATGACCATAGAGCTGCAAAATTTGTATCGTACTTTCCTTTGGTTTTGAAATGTACTGACAATTGGTGCATTGCTCTAAATGTTAATTTTCATACCAGCTCATGTAGAATGACTTATATTCCTTCCACTTGCCTGACAGAGTGTCTTTATAGCCTAAAGCTGTGTACAAATACCCACTACAGAGGTGACTGAGGTGGTAGTAGGTGTTGCCACTGCTCAGCCATTCCTTGCTTGTAAAAGGTTCTATGTCTGTTCACATCTGCTTCAGCTTAGCTCAAAGCACTTCCACCAGTAGCTTGGGCTCCCTGGGCTCATGCTCTGCTTCCTGGGATCGTGTATGAGTCTGGGTCTGACACTCTTGTGATTGACATGTTTTTTTAATCTTTGCTTCCTGCTTTCCTCAGCAAAATAGTCCTCTTGTTTCCAGCTACTTCATCTTTTCTGCTGCATTTTTCCTTGAATTTTTCCTTTCCTTCTGCTGCTCTCCTTGAATTTCTAAGAAACAGACAGTCCTCCAAAGATGGCCCTTTAAAGGCTCCATCCTTTATTTTCTCTTCAGGATTGATAATGGAAATAATTATGCAGTGCTTTTGCTATAAGCAGAAGCTACTCTGTCTACATACATTAAAATCAAAACAATCTTTTTCTTTAAAAAGAAGTGCAGCATTTAAAAATTACCACAGTCTTTGTTTATGCAGCATTAGATTACTGTCTTTTCACTGTACATTAAATATTGTGAGTCATGCTGAGTTGAGTCATCTACTGCAGAGGAAGGTGGCATGTAAGAGTCCATCCTTTCTCCCATCCCTCCTCCCCTGTATGAGAATTTTTCTGCTTTTCAGAAAAAAAAAATCAGGAGACCGGTTGGTTGGGAGGTTTTTTTTTTTCGATAAGTAAAAATGGGCATCCCATATAGTACTGGAGATGTGAAGACCATTGTTTCTGTATAGCACTTTTGTGAGGATACACATACTGCCTTGTGTCTGCCTCAAAAGGATGGGCACAAATTCAGCTGTCTTCTAAGCTGTGGTTGCCTGGCACAACTCAAGACTGAGTGGTACTTGTTGCTGGTACCTGTCTGCCTTGCCTTCTGCCACAGGGGTCCAGTGTAGCATCAAAACGCTCAAGTAGGGATTCTTCTGAGAGGCTGTTGTACCTCGCAGGCTGGTGTCTGAGAGATGGGTGATCAGCTCTGGCATGTTCCTCATGAAAAAGTAATTTGTTTTGTGAGGTGTGAAGGTTCCTGTTCCACTCATGCAAGTGTAGAGGTAAGCTTTGTTCTAGGATACTATTAAGTAGGAGGTCAGCAAAGCTCCCCTGGCTGAAGTGAGGAAAAGGCTTATGGTTATTCTGGGTTACTAAAAACGCAACTATTTAAAGTTGTTATTCATTTGGCTGTAGGTGTGTGAACTGTAGCAGAGTGCTTGCCTATTTAATGCAAATATACTGCAGTTGGTGGAAAACAGTAAAATTCTATGCCATTGAGTCTACCACAGAGATAACTCATTAAGAAGCTAAATGCCTTTTTCAGCTACTCTAGGCTCAAATTTCTGCAGTTGTTCCCACTGCTTGCAGAAATTTCAAAAATCATGTCAGCTGGGATAAAAATAAATAATTCTGTTATGAAAATACCCTAAAATGGGGATTGAGGAATGAGTACCAACTAAGAACAGCTTCAAAAGATGACCCCAATAGAGCAGTAGCAGATCCCTGTAAGTATTCAGCTTTCAACTTTTACCTACAAGAATTTGCAGATCAATGGATATGTGTTTTTGGCAAGAATGTTCAGTAGATAAAAGTAATGAAGAAAATTCAGAAGAGCACTCTAAGGGAGAGATTCGCAAAAGTTGTTAGTACTAAAAGAGGTAATTGTTGCTCCTGAAAATACCAAATGGCACTTTCAGTACATGAATGTTTTTGCAAAATCTGGCCCTGATAGATCATAGACAATCTGCTGTATTGGCAGTTGAACGTTTACATTCATTTATTGAAATTATTGTTTTTACAGTCCATAGCTTCAGGGAGTTTTGTTTGTGATGGAAAACTTTGTCCTCCATAAATCTTTTACCAGATACGCCACTATACTCTCCTGAATTTATTGGGAAATATGACAGGTCTGCCTGTGCTAGTTATTTTTAAAACAAAATGTGTAACCCAGTGTCTTTTAAGTATCAACTATAACCAGCTAAGCTATAAAACCACCTTCCTGCTGTAGGTGCTCTGTCTATTTTAAGGTGTAAATAGAGGCCTGGGAGTCTTGGGACCTGTGTTCTGTTCTCAGTTCTTCCACAAGCAAGCCAACTTACAACTTGGTGCCCCAATTTCTTTATTTTTTCAGGAAGTGTAACAACATTTTCACATGGGTATTGTGAACAGACAGTAATCCAATCTTGTATAAAGTAATTCAAAGATTTTGGGTCGGGGCATGTATGTAGGGTACTTTAAAATAGACCACAGAATTAAGTGTTGATGCATGATTTGCTTCTACTTTTTTTTTTTTTAATGTTATCTTTAGCCAATCGCAAATGTGGATCAGGAGACCTTGACAGAGCTGGTGAAGCCCAGTATTGACTATGTGCGGCACAAAAAATTCCGGTCTGGGAATTACCCGTCATCACTGAGCAATGAAACGGACAGACTGGTTCACTGGTGCCACGGTGCCCCTGGAGTCATCCACATGCTCATGCAAGCTTATAAGGTGAATCGTTCTGTATATATAGACCTCTATTCTTATGCAGAGATCTGTGGATAGGCCTGTTAAGATTTGCCAGACTGCATTTTACATTTTTTCTCAGTCTAAACCTTCAAACAGAACGCTGGGGAAACCATCTGGAAATCCAAAATGCTTGTATAGGTATGTCTGTAAAACAGTGGGTAAAAGTGTTTCTCAGGGTGTTAGCAGTTGCTAGAGTTCACTGTTTCTTGGAAAAGGGGTATGTACTTAAACACTCTGACACCGGAATCCTGGAGATCCTTGCTAAATAATCTCTTCCATAAATTACTCCATTATTAAGATCAAGTACTTGAGAACTTAATACCAATGTCAGAACGAAGATTCCAGGCCCTGGCCAGGGGATAAATATAACCCCTGAGGTAGTACTAGCCTACTGTTTGCTCCTTTACATCCTTAACTAGGCGCCCTCCTTGTCTTATGTTGTGCACTTCTGATTTGCATGACGTTTGAAAATATACCATTTCATTACATTTATGTAAATTGATTCCTGCTTTTGATAGTCCTTCTTGGCAAATTCCCTGGTCAGCCTCTGGATGGGCTGGTGAAAAGCAGGCTTGGATTGTGAAATAATTACTCTTGCTGCTACCTGAAATGTGAGCTGTAAACATGTTCCAGCACTGCCGAATGCAGCAGCAGTAACAGTTGCCTTCTCTTTGGAAGGTGACTTAACGCTACAGACTTTTTTTGATCTTGCTTGCCAGTATGATGCTCTCCCCAGCACAAAATGCTCTGCAGGAGATAAGAGGGAAAGGGCGAAGTTCTGTCTGGCAGTCTCCTTTCTGGTCTCTTTCTGTATTTAAGATGATGAGGCATTTGCTGCTTTTATTATACTCTTTAATCTGCTTGTGAAGAAGTGATAAGAAAAAAAAATTAGAGTGTGTTTTGTTGGTTGTGTTCCCAGTAGAGAGACTTGGGACAGCAGAAAGAAATGTTTGTCCTGGAAATCAAATGCAGTTGCTAAGCCTTCATCTTCATCAGCATTATGTCTGAGGAGCTGGGATTAAAAGGCAAACCCTATTTAGAGAGGGACCTTATTTACACAAAACTTGTGGATTTAAGATCGTGCATGTTAATTGCTTGTATTATTTCATTAGAGTATCACTGCAGAGCTCTGAAGGGCTACATCTACAGCAGTGCATCAGTTGCTGTTCCTTTTTTTGGTCTTTTTGGTCGGTAGAGTGACTCAGGCAAAGGAGAGCAGGAAGTAGTCTTACAAAGGTGGAAGTGTGTGGTGCTGTTCAGCTAACTGCTCTTTTTATTTTCTACCCTCGATGGACGCTTCATGCTTTTAGGCTGTACTTCAGTTGCAGTACGTTTTACAACGTAGCCCAAACTGACTAGTGTCTCTACGTATCTGCAGTACAAATACTAATCAAGGTAATGGAGTGCCGTTTTGGCAGAGGAAAGGGCGCCGTGCTACGCAGAGAGGCATTGCCAACATGGAATTAAAGGCTGGAGTGAGCAACTGGCTAGCACTGTCCAGAAACATCAGGAGAAAAGCCCTTCAGGACTGAATTTGGTGGCTGTTCTTCTGTGTTACATTTTCCTGGAGACAAGAATTACATTTCTGTAGCTTAAATCAAATGATAGCGTGGTTTCGGAATGGAGATGGCAAAAAAAAAAAAAACCACCCTTCAAATAGATTGTAGGGTGTAGAACTGAAGGTCCTGAAGTTGAGGGTTTTTTGGGGGGGGATCCCGATTTCAGAAACAAAAAAATCAGGAAGTTCATTTTCTTTGCAGAGAAAGGGGGAGAGAAAAAAAAATAGTAGGTGAAGAAAGGCATTTCTCTAATGGATAGATTATAAAAATTCAAAAAAAACAATCCACCTATATGATAAACCCCACTACAAACAGCAAAATATCACCTAGGTCTACCTTCCTTTCCTCTTTTTTTAGTACTTAATTTATATGCACTCTTCTGTTTGTTTATTTCTATTCCACAGACCTTTAAGGAGGATAAATACTTGAAAGATGCTATGGAGTGTAGTGATGTCATCTGGCAGAGGGGTTTACTGAGAAAAGGATACGGGATCTGCCACGGTGCTGCTGGCAATGGCTACTCCTTCTTATCTCTCTACAACCTAACTCAGGACAAAAAGTACCTCTACCGAGCTTGCAAGGTAAGCTGTTCTGCCTCCCAACCAAGTCATCGCTTCCCTTCACACTCTGGTGCTTGTGTAGGCAGAATAAACAGTGATTCAAGTAGTTGTTGTGTGCTAGTTCTGGAACTGGCCTGTTGTGAGGCAGGGTGGAACAAGCGTGCCATCATGTGCCCCATAACACATGATGGGACTGTCATGCTTACACAGTGTACATGGGCAAGCCTGGGTTTTAGTATGTAGAATATTTGGGGGAAAAACCTGGTTTGCAACATTAAAAGGGAGAGAAACTGAACACATATTCAGAAAAAGAAAGTGGAGTTTGAAAAATAGTGTATTTGAACAGTAGCAGATTAATTTATGTGGCCCTAATTATTCCATTGAGAGATGTGTTCCTGTCCTCAGCCCCTCAAGCAATACTATTGTAGTCTTTTGTAATTATTTGTTTGCAGACTACTGGCTGATTTGGCTCGCAGAACTCTGAGTTGCAGTTATTAGATTGCTCGCTGAGAGTTTTTTTTTTTTCTCATTAATACAAATTGCAGAGAGACACTGTGAATTCTTCCAGCAGAAACTTCCAGGTTTTCCTCCTCAGCCCTGCCTGATGGGGAGCAAACAGTCCCCACCAAAGGAGGAGGTTTTCTCTGCCTCTGTTTCTGGATCTCCCAAGAACTTTCTTCAACTTAATGTGCTGATACTAGATTTCATATTGCTTATGGCTTGCAATATTTAGCTGTTTCATATCCCATACCTCTCTATTTAGCTGACAGCACAGTAGTGAATTTGAGTTGTTTCCAAGGGCACCTTTGGATGAGCTCTGGCCATGAGTACAACCACTGTGCTCTTTTCCACACCCTCCCTGGCCCCTTTAGTCAGCCAAGCTTTAAAAGCTTGCTGCTTGTCTCACCAGAAGCACCAAGTCAAGAGGGTGTCTGTATCTCTCTGTACACATGTAGAACATAAGCAGCACTTAGGAGTGCTGCAGAGAGTGTGTGACTTGGTGCTACCTATGCAGCCAGCTCCTGCTGACATGGGAACAGTGGCACCAAGCATGTAGTGCTTGCAGCCTTTGGCACCGCTGTCAGCCTCTCCCTCATACGCTCCATTTTGATAATCTTTTGTGGCTCTGTGCAGTGTTTGCAGTTCCTCTTGGCATTGAGTTTCTTGCCTGTGAGAGCCTGTGAAGCCACAGCTTTGTCCGTAGGGATTCCCCACTTCCCTGGAGGTGACAGCCCTCACATTAGTGAGCACCTTCGGCCACCTTAGTTTGGATGGATCAGTTGGGGAAGCTTAGGTAAGCAAAGTAAGATTTCTGCCCTAATAGATAATGATCTTATCAGCACTTCCAAAATACATAAAACCATATAGAAAGATTATTTTGACTTTTTTTTTACTTTACCTTTGGTTTTTGTTTTCGTTCTACATCCACATAGTCATCACTTGCATACCCATCCTAGAAGAGCAGTGCAGCACTTGAGCAGGTTGCTCGGAGAGGTCTAGTATCCATCCTTGGATGTTTTCAAGGCTTGGCTAGAGAAAACTGTGCCTGACCTGATCTAGGGTAACACTAATAACCCTGCTTCAAGAAGCAGATTGAACTACATGACCTCAAGAGGTCCCTTCAAAACAACATTTTTACAATTTCTACCTGTTGCTAATATGATATGGCGGATTCATCTGCTCAGGTACTTCCTCACTGCATATGCTGAAGTGCAGTTCTTGTTTTCCATTACTGGAAAAGTTTGAGTATTTTCACAGTCCTTGAATTCTTGCAATTTCCCAGCTGACATTCAAGAATGAGCCTGAGCAAGAAGCGTGGGACAGGGAGAGCTAGACCTGCAGTTCTGCCTTACAAAGCTAAAGTAAAGAGAACATCGCCATCTGAAAGGCAAAGGAGGCAGAGACTCGAGTACATAACTGAAATCATGGTAAGAGGTGACAGCCTGGCCAGGCAAAGAGACCCTTTGCAGGAGGTGCCTGCCGTAACCATGAGTGGAAGTGCATTTGCAGTGAAGTCTGTATTTTAGCATCTCCACTTCTAGGCAACCTGCCTGGGAAAACACAGAGTTTCCATGGGCAGCCTGGACTCCGGGTAGCAGCCTCTGAGCCCCTTGCTGCTGTGTGTTTCCTGGTGAAACCACTGGTACATGGCATTTTGTGGGAAGGGCCTTTGTTATCTATGTATTTATTTTGAAACAGAACTTAGGAGGTCTGAAAGGCTGTTTCTAGATTGCAAGTGTGTTCAGCTGGGGTGACAAATGGTGGCAAACACTTTCTTGCTAGATGAGACCTATTTTTTCTTTTTTCTCCCCCCATTTATTAAATAAATTCGTATGGTTTACTGAATCTGTGAGAAGCTCAGAACTTTTAAGTGATGATGGTGCTTTCCCTCAGTAGCCTTGGGCAATTTTTTTAAAATTTCTGTAACAGTTCCCAGGCTGGCAATAATAATAAAAGCTGCAATAAGATGGGGATGTTGCAAGAATTAATTATAGTTTAGAAGCATGCCGTAAACATGTTCCTTCCTCACATACAAGAGAAGATTACACTGAAAATTAAACCTTGGTTGTAAGATGTATACCTGTGAGGGACCCCAAAATACTCTGTCATTTCTCAATAACAGTGCAGACTGCAATGTCTGTCTTTGTGGGCTTTTTTGGCCGTGTTTCCTCCAGCCATTCTCACACGCACACACCAACCAAAGGAAGAAATCCACCCCACAATAAACAAGTAAACCGGATGGAGCAGGGGGAATGGGGAATGATGCCAGCCTTTCTGCTGTTTGACAGATTTTGAAAGCTGGTTCTGGGATCGCTTTTGCATGTCAGGTAGAGCTGGAGCCCCCTCTAGTGAGCAGGACAAGGGAAAGGGGGAGAGTCCTCCCAGTTTTTGGCTTTGCATGCATCATGTACCTTTATCACAGCATTTTGAATAAGCAGGGATTTGCTTCCGAGCAGAGAAATGTAACAGGAACTTGTGGGGCCCCTATATGCTCTGGGGGCCCATAACAAAGAATGAGAATTGTTGCTATTAAATTGATCCAGATGTGGTTTGCAGCTGATGTTTGAGTGGTGTAGCTACTGCAGCAATGTTGATCAAGCAGAAAAAATACCCTGTTGACTTGTTTTCAAGTGGTATTTCATCTTCTGCAGCAAAATATTGAAAGCCATAATTGTCTAACTGTATTTATAATGATTTTTCATAAGGCTTGGGGGGAGAAAATAAATAAAGCTAAGTAATGGCGGCTGGAGATTTGATACTCAGAGTGGTGCATGGAAGTGCAAGAAAACAGAAATGCAGTTAACAAGTGTAAGCGCTGATTGCAGTGTTGTTTCTCTACTTTACACTGTTTGTACCCGTAAGTTAAAATGTTTTCCTGTACAAGTTTTCAAGCTCACATTTAACAATCTTAATTTAAAAGAAAAGAGAAAAAAAAAGAAAGGAGAAATAGCCCTTTTCTTTTACCAACTTTCCAGTTTGCTGAATGGTGTTTGGAGTATGGTGCACATGGATGTCGTATTCCTGACCGGCCTTATTCTCTCTTTGAAGGTAAGTGATGGTATTGGGTTATATGCACAAGAAAGGCAGCTTTGCTGTTACAGTGCATGCTGAGGAGCCGGGAGATCTTGGTGGGTGCCAGTACTGTTAAAAGAGGAAAGGCGGAAAACACTGCCACCACCACCTTTTTCTCCCCCCACCCAAAAAGAGCAGCATCCCACGCTTTCTTTCTGAATTGCGTTTGAGCAGTTTCCAGTGTAAAGTTAGTACCACAGTCCTGCCTGTGCTGCTACAGCCTCTCGGCTTAATGCAGGCAAAAAGCCTGGGGAGGACTGGGCAGGGTGCTGGTTTGCCACAACTGAACCTTCCTTGCTGCCATGCTCAAGCAAATAAAAGGTACTTTTAACATGAACCAAAATTGCTCTAGCAGAAAGGCATGCTAAGTTATTAAGGGATTTTCTATAAGTGTGAAGGTTGTAATGCTTTCCTAAATGCTTTCCTAGAGCTTTTTATTTTTTAGATGCAGTTTATTTTTAATCCCTGTCTTAAATCCTTACAATTTTGAAGTACAATAGCAAGGAAATATAGCCCAAGCAGGATTTAAAGTAGTCTGCTACTCTGTGAAGAGTGAACCTCGTGTGCCATCTACCACAAATACGTAAAATTACAGCAGACAAATAAGCCAAACCAATGAGTTAACACCAAAGAACGATAGCTCTGTGCATCCCTTCTAAATACAGATTTATTGTGTTAGTATTTGTAGGAGAGAAGTATAGTTACACTTGTTCCGAGGGATTCTTGCATGCATTTGTGGAAGCAAAAAGTGGACATGAAATTGGTAGGACAGAAGCTTTGAAATTTGTTAAGAATGCAGAGTAATGTCAGTAGTAGTCAGGACAGTTTGTGCCTTAATGGTGACTGCACAGATTTATATATGTATTATATATACATATATATATATATTTTAAGACTTTGAAGTTGTCTGTTTGACATTTTTTTTGATTGGCTTTGTAGCCAAAATTGTCCTTGAAGCTGTCCAGTTCTGCCCAGCTGTACATATGTGCACACTTTCACTGGGAGCTGCATCCCTTATGGGATTAAGCTGAAAGTTGTATGTCCTACTGTACACATTTCATTTGTGTTGGATACCTGCTTTTTGGGAGAGTCGGTGCTTCAGACAATAGAATATTAGCTTGTTTATAAAACTGAATTTGTAATTGTTGTATACAGGAGTTGGATGCAGCTGTATGCTGCCCTGCTGTAGGGTGCCACTGTCTTATGTCACCCTGAGAGTTTTATGAGTTGATGTTGCTATTAATGCTCCTTTTATGAATAGTGAATAAATGAATCAGTGTATCACGAAAGTAACAAAAGTTTCACCTTTTTTTCTTTAACAGTGGGATCTCTTTGGTAGACCCTGAATAAGCAGGGTTTTAAGCAAGAGCTCCTCAAATTGTGCTAGACAGTCCAAACAGGATTCTTTTTTTCTTAACTAACTGAAGTGGCTCTGAGTTTGTACAACTGAAAATACAATAGCAGGGAGAACTTTTTTCTTGCCTTTGATCTTTTTAAGTGAAACTTACTTTCCTGGTCAAAATACAGGTGAGTTTGGCTTTGCAGTGGCCAATTCAGGCAATTGAGAAAGCTCACCAATTCATAAATTCAGAGAGCCAATTCAGAAAGCTCCAGCAAGGAGATGCTCCAATAGATGCCCCTTCCTTTGCTGTCGACTCTGCTATTTTTATGTCTGAGATGCACAAAAGAAATCTCTTTCTCATTATGTTTTAGGAATGGCTGGTGCTATTCACTTCCTCTCAGATATTTCAGTACCGGAGACTTCCCAGTTTCCAGCATTTGAACTTGGACCTCAAAGGAGGGAAAACAAAGTGGAACAAGATAGCTAAGGAATCATTTTGGAAGGAAACTATGCCAAAAGCAACGGGACTGCTTTGTGCCTCCGATACTGAAGCAACTTGATCCTGTCAGATGAATAAACCCCCTTTTCCCACTCCCCTCTGGCCCAAAGGACCATGAAATCACTAGAGCATGGACAAGAAGAAGCCACATTTAAGTTCTGTTAAAGTGACACCTTCACATGTAGGACAAGAGAAGTCGAGTTTGAACTTTCTCTTTTCTGTTACATTTGTTGTCTTTGGGTCTTTCACATGCTCTGCATGTTTATTGTTGTTGTCTGTTGGTATGATGTCTTTTGTTGTGAGCAAAAAGCTGTTCTCCATGTGATCTCGGTCCTGTCTCTTCACATGTGACTCAACAGCAGTGCTGCTTTCTGCAGGGTGGTTATCCACAGAGCTCTGCTTTATGCCAGACAGTTCAGTATAAGACCCTGCCTGATTTAATTGCTTCACTGGTTACTTTAAAAAGAGAAGAAAATCTTACTTATGTTCATGATTCTGCATTTTTCTGTGCAGCCTCTAAAAGCAGAGGCAGAGGAGAGCAGTGCTGTTTGAAGAAGTGGTATGAGGTCACCTCAGTTTTCAGGAATTTAAGGTTTGGAGGGACCTGTTGTTGTTGAGCAGAGCAGGAACAGCAAGTTATGCTTTTCCTCTGTTTATTTGGATTTGTAATAAATTCACCCTGTGTTACATGTACACAAGGAGGTAACAAAGGCAGTTGTTTCCCATGGCTGGTAACTCCAGATGACCGTTGCTCTTGAACCAGGGAGGTGATTTGTTCTGTTTCCCCTCTGCCCCATTGCTCTTAGCCCAGGTAGTGTGACAGGAGCAATAAACATCAGCTGCTCTTAAAGACTGCCGAAAAGTAAGGAACAATATGTACATTGTTGCTAGATATTGTGAGTAAAGTTTATGTCATCTCCAATTCAAAGCAAAAGAGAAAAAAATCCTTTGCCCTTGCTCTGAACTGTGCTGTTAGTCCTCTGCTTCTCGTAGCGTGGTGTTGGTCGTGTGAAATACTAGCTCTTCGTTCTACTATCAAGGTATTACTTATTCTGCCTCCATGCTCTTGATTTGGGAGGAGTGGAACTTGAGAACATTTAGAGCATGTTTCTGTTTTCCATATTGTAAGTACACTTACTATTTGAAAAAGGTAAGTGTGTGTAGTGTTCTCTTGCTTAGCTCTTGTCCTCTCCCAGCTCTCCCTGTGCTCTGTCAGTCCAGGTGCTTATTTTAATTGATAGCTAATATTGAGTATGAGTGTGACAGATGGCAGAGACTTGGTCTGACCTTTCAGGCGTGCGCTGGGATATATATGACCCAGGAGCCATCTGCTGAGCTCCAGTGTTTGCACTCAGGCTTGGAAATGCAGCGCGGCTCCTGCATAAATCTCTGAACAGCAGCAAGTGACTTCCTTGAACTTCACAATATGTGTTGCCAAATCCAGGTGGATGTTAATAAACTCCTGATGGAGCTCTGCTAGGCAATAACAACAGCGCCAGGGCAGGGACAGCTTAATGTCACCCTGTAGTGGTGTCGGACTAAAGCGGGGAGCAGCAGGAGGGGGTTTCCCACCGCTCTGGCAAAGGGCAGGAGATGAAGCTTCGCACCTGGCTTCACCTATATGGCCAAGCACAAGGGAAGAGCCCAAAAGGCTCCAGGAAGGAGGGGAGACTCATGGAAAGCAGCTGCGGAAAATGGGTCCAAGTCGTGAGGGAGGAAGTGAAGGGACCAGTGAGGAACTGATTCTAGGGTGCAGTTTGCAGCAGATACTGGCAGAGGCCATCTGTTTCATGTTCTTTTTTCCTTTCCTTTTTTAACAGGGAAGCATGGTCCCCTTGTGCCACGGGGGGACCTTTTCAGCACATCCCAAGTATGTGCTGTGCTGGCTGCATAACTAGGCAGGTCAATGGGGATTTCTTTCATTCAGTGATTATAGGCTTTCTTGACTGCCGAGCTTAAATGGCAGCTGTGGGAGGTAATTTTGGCTGGCAGGTGCCCAGTGAGAAGTAAAACTTTCTTGGCTGTTTAAAAAAAAGTTGGGTAGGTATATGTACACACTTAGATCAGCTTAAGCCTGAACAGATCTCTGAGGCACTTGAGTGCAGCAGTCAAAATAATGAGCAAGAGCTAATAATAACTATTAGCTCACTCTGTGTTGGGGCCGCCCTTCTGCTGTGATTAGGCCTGGCGCTGTTTTCCTCCAGAAAAGCATGTCGGAATGAAGCAAGACTGGAAACGAAATGCAGAAAGTTGAGACGTTCGGGATGGTGCATCCACCTCGTGTGCTTGGCGTGACTTCCCTCGAGACTCCTTCTCTGTGCTTGTGGCAGCTCTGTGATGTCCAGGTGGCCCGGTAAGAAGCGGATGTTGTGTGAAGGGGTGAAAACATGCATTTCACCTACGCCTTTGAAAATGTTGTTTTCAGAAAGCACATGAAGCTAAAAATGGAGATCTTTTTTTGGGGGCAGAAAAAGAGGGAGAAAATGCTGATGTTTTTGTTCTTTGGCTTTCTTAGTAAAGATCAAACTATGTGGTGGCAATTTGTCTTAAAACACTCTTTGCTGTTTTCCTTCCTTGCGTGCTGCACCACAGCCGTAGCTGTTCACTGCTGCACCAGCTGAAGCATCCCCTGCTTTCCAAGGCTTGCAGGAGGCATCAGCGTGAGCGAGCTCCTGGGCACATGGCTCTGGCTTGCGGTTTTTTAACCTGTGAGCTGTTTGTGCTACGTGAGAGCAAGGACTCGAGCCAGAAGAGCTGCTGTTTTGAATGCCCTGTGTGCTTCTGGATGGAGGCAGAACTCCAGCGTGCTGCTTTCCTGGTATTAAGTGATTAGGCCTGGTACCACACATGGTATGTTAGATAGTGGAGCCTTTCTTTGTTTCCGCTTGCCAAGGTGCTTTAGCCACAACTTCTTGGATATATGCTTACAGAACCAAGACATCTGTGCTGGGAGGTGGTGATTTATTTATTTATTTTTTTAAGTAGGGAACAAAGAGTAATAGTTGCTTTGTGCTTTGCATATTTGAGCACTTTGTAGAAAAACACAGCCCTAGCTGTTTATTTTTGCAGCAGTGTAAGCTGTCACAGTGCTTGAAAGAAACAAAAGAAAGAGAAAAAGCAACACGGAAAACACAGCAGCTTGTCCTGATGCTGTCTTTTCTGAAGTGGTAATGAAGTGCTGGAGCAGCTGCCAGGTGGTGGCTGTAGGAGCCCCACGCAGAAGTGCCAGGGATGGTGCTGTCCCTGTACGGGCCCAGCTGATTATTCGTCCCTCTCGTTACTGGGCTGGAAGCCGCTGCCTTGGAGTGCAGGTGAATTGAGCCCTTCCTCTGCAAGGGCTGGGGCAATCAGTCACACCAGGGACGAAGTTTACAGGCTATTTTTTCCCCTTTGTATTTCTCGTTTGCGTGGATGTAAATCAGACAAATTAAGTATAATGCAAAGGCTGCTCAGGGCACTAGGGGGAGATTACAGATGGAGCAGGTTCCAATGTGGCTCACACATGGTCCTTCCACAGCAGGGATGTGTGGAGCATAAAGCAGAAACAAAAACAAGGGGAAAATACTCTCAAAGCCACCTAAAAGCAGCACGTGGGCCAGCCAGAGGTTCATGGTCACGGGAGACCCTCTGTGCCCTTGTGTGTTCACCACTGCCTGCGCCCAACGACTCCTCATGTGCTCCCTGCTTCCCTGTGAGGCTGCCCATGCCCGGCCTCTCCTCATGCACTCCCTGCCTTTGTGTGAGGCTGCTTCTGCACTGCTGCTCCTCACCCGCTCCCCGTGAGGCTCCGTATGAGGCTGCCCTTGTCCTGACGCTCCTCATGCGCTCCCTGCACAGCTCGGTGTGAGGCTGCCTGTGATGCTCTGTGTGAGACTGAGCATGCCTAGCTGCTCCTTATCTGCTCCCTGCCTCCCTGTGAGGCTGCACATGCCTGGCTGCTCCTTATCTGCTCCCTCTGAGGCTCTGTCTGCATGTGCCTGGCAGCTCCTCACCCGGACCCTGCTTCTCTGGGAGGCTGTGTGTACTCGGGCACGGCTCACACACTCTTGGACTCCCTGTGAGGCTGCGTGTGTCCAACTGCTCCTCACACCCTCCCTGTCTCCGTGTGACAATGCCTAGGCCTGGTGCCTACTCATGTGTTCCCTCTGAGGCTCTGTGTGAGGATGCCCATGCCCAGCCACTCTCCATATGATCCCGGTGAGAGGGATATGCTTGGCAGCTCCTCACCCCTTCCCTGCCTCCGTTTGAGGCTGCCCATGCCCGGCAGCTCCTCACGCCCTCCCTGCCTCCGTATGAAGCTGCACATGCCTAGTCACTCCTCACGTCCTGCCTGCCTCCATGTGAGGCTATGTGTGCCTAGGTGCTCATCACGTGCTCTTTGCCTCTGTGTGAGGCTGCATTCACCTGACTGCTCCTAACCCACTCCCTGCCCCCATGTGAGGCTACTTGTGTCCGGCTGCTTGTCACCTGCTCTGTGCCTCCCTCTGAGGCTGCTGTGCCCAGCCACTCCTCACCCATTCCCTGCCCTCCTGGGAGGCTGCCTGGGCCCGGCCACTCTTAACTTGTTCCCTACCCCTGTGTGAGGTTGCCAGTGCCTGGCTGCTCCTTACCCTCCCTGACTCTGTGTGAGGCTGCACATGCCTGGCTGCTCTCACCCACTCCCTGCCTCCCTGTGAGGCTTCTTGTCCCCTGCTGCTTCTCACCTGCTCCTTGCCCCGCTGTGAGGCAGCCTGTGCTCAGCTGCTGCTCACCAACTCCCTGCCTCATATGGAGTCTCACTCCTCTGAGGTTCCATATGAGCCTGCCCATGCCTATCCACTCCTCACATTCTCCCTCTTTGTGAGGCTGCCTGTGCCTGGTGGCTCCTAACTCCCTCCTTGCTTCCATGTGAGGCTGCCTGTGCCTCACCGCTCGTCACGAGCTCCCTGCCTCTATGGGAGGCTGCCTGTGCCCAGCCGCTTCCCACCTGCTTCCTTCCTCCTTGTGAGGCTGCCCTTGTTTGACCGCTCCTCATCCGGTCCCTGCCTCTCTGTGAGGCTGCCCTTGTCTGGCCGCTCCTCACTGGCTCCTCGCCTCTGAGTGAGGCTGCCTGTGCTCACCTGCGCCTCATCTGCTCCTTGTGAGGCTCTGTGGGAAGCTGCACATGCCCATCCACTCCATCTGCTCCCTGCCTCTCTGGGTGAGGCTGCACATGCCCGGTCGCTCCTTACAAGCTCCCTGCCTCCCTGTGAGGCTTCCCGCACTCACTGGCCTCAGTCTTGTGGTGAAGGGAGTGGAGGGAGGCAGTGCCTGTCTGGCCACCTC